AGAACCCTGCCAGGTTAGGGACAGACCATTAGAAAACTTATGGGGGGCGGGCGAAGTACAAAAAAAATATTCGCGCAAGGGAAAATTAAATGGAAAAAAATTCATGCATGCCGATGTTCATGCTATGGCCTGACAAAAATTCAACAAGGAATTTGATAACGAAACTGAAAATTTCCTATGGCTCGAAAAATCCCCTCCCCGGCCCCATAACTTTTCTAATGGTCCGTCCCTAATCCAATACTAAATACAATGTTAGCTAATTACTAATTACAATGTTTTAAACTTAACTAAGGAGTATTTACAAAATTATCTGAAAGCTGACTCGTTAAGGAACGTTTAAAAATTTCAACAGATGGGCTTAACTTAAGAAAAGATTCCAAATTGTTGCAAAGTTTAACAGTCCTGTAATAAAAGGTCCTCTGTCTGGAGGCAGTTCTGAAAAGAGGGATGTTTAGCTTTTGGCTATTCCGAGTTGTTCGTTCGCTAAGTTGCTCACGGGTGATAAATTGGGATGTAAGATATTCAGGGGCTTGACCGGTCATGCATTTGAAGGCCATAATAGCTTGGCGATAGTACAGTTGGTCCTTAGATAATAATTTTCTGGGACCAGTAAACTCTTCTGTTGTCTACTCACTGTCTACTGGGATAAGTGTTCGTGTATCGACTTTCGATTTTTGATTTCACTTTTCACTTTGAAGATCGACTTTAAATATCGACTTTTGATTTTGCGTTTTGACTTTTGGTGGCCACTGTCGGCCGCCGAAGTTGCCGTGAGCGTTATTTGCCGTTAAAAATTGAAATTGCCGTGAGTAAAATTGAAATTGCCGTGACACTTTTGGGCTAGCCTGCGTAGCAAGCGTTTCCGTTTGGTTTCGGGGCAAAGAAATACCGAGGAAGGGGACTTTCGGTTTTGACCGCGCGAGAAATGAAACGAGAGCCAAAAAGTGAAAGAGGGGGAAGGGGGAGGGGAAGGAAGGAAACGCTTGCAGACAAACCCCTCGATTTTGAAAACCTGCGTTCGCCAGCGAACGCAGCGCCTGATTGGCTCGGCTAGTCGAACAATGTTGACATGTGTCGATCAAAGGTTTGTTTCATACTGAGAGGTCATGTTTGGTACGTGACACGCATATTAATTTTCTGTGGTTATTGTTTATTCTGGTCGGCAAGATTTTCCCTCCAATGCAAGAGCATTTTATTTAACTTCTTTCGAAACACAAAGCTCTTCTTGCGACTTTATAAGGGTTTCAGGTCGTTTTATTTGTCTCCCGGATCTGAATAACTAAAAGCGATTTTCTTTTGTCAGGGAATGCGCTGGTTTCCTATGCTGGGCCCAGCTCGTTAGTGTTTTTTTTTTTTTTTGCGGGATGTTAAATTTTCTCGGTTAGTGATTTACAGATACAAATTTTGAAGAATGGATTGCACCTTAAACTGAAGCTACATCAACTAGGAAGACCTGCATTGTGACTCAGTCAAAATTTCTGCTTGGTTCTCCACGCGAACTTTCAGTTGCCGGGTTAGCTTTGTTCTAGGATGCTTTTACAAGAGCACTCTAGTTGTCTGTGCCGTGGCGAGAACGGTAAGCCGTTCTGTCTAGCTGATCTAGACTTGAATGCTTGTCACATTTTACCACTTCAAATCCAACTTTCTGGAGGTTTAGAGCTAAAATTTTAAAACTTCATTCACCCTCGCGGTCCTTCCTTTAAGACGGATTAAGAAGACAAATGTACAAAGCCTGCATTGATCGTTCGGATTCATTGAGATTTCACCATTAACGCCGTCCAAGCGCTCCAAAATACAAAAAAAAAAAATTTTTAGTTACACAAACGCGTCCTCTAAAGTTCATTACCGCTCCACGGAAGGCCAAACATTTTATTGGTCAATTATGACAGTTGATGACAGCATCAAATGTCGGTTCGTGAACTCAGGCGTGACAGACCAAGTGGGTGGTTTTCAAAATCCCGGGGTTTGTCTGCAAGCGTTTCCTTCCTTTCTTCCCCACCCCCTCCCCGCTCTTTTACTTGCGCCACTTTTCTCGCGGTCTTTGACTCTCGTTCCTCGTTCTTTTCTCCTAAACCGTACAGAAACGCTTGCTACGCAGGCTATTTATGGGCTACTGTACCTATCTGATTCGAACATAAAATACGTATCATCTCGCCGCCGAGTAATATTTTTCTCGCCAAGTTGTTATAGAAAGTGAACCCTTTCATCTTTTTAACGTAGTCAATAAATCAGTAAAATGTTAATCTTAAGTGAAAAATTTGTTACAGAACTTAATGCGTTAAAAATGGCGGTAGAAATAGTGTAAACTACTTGTGCAAATTCTATAACAAATTCAAAGATCTGTGAGAAATTTTGTGTGTATGGTTATTTTCTACTCAACAGTCAAAATCTGTCTTATTTGAAGACAGCGTCTATGGGAAACGACCCACCTACTCCTCCACTAAGCCAACATGTTGGTTTTGGGGAGGGGTAGGTGGGCAGATTCCCAGACGTCTAAATTGATCTAAGCAGCTTTAACGTATGATGTATAATTCTTCCTTTTTTTTGGCGTAAGATTATCTTTCTGATCTTACAGTCCTTTTGCTATTAATAGGTGTTTAAGTATAAAACAAAACTTAAGTGCTCATTTTTTAGGACGACACATATCAAACACACTTCTTCCGCCAACCCTTCTTTACTCACGTAAAGTTATTTACAAGATTTGTTTGTGGAAGTAAATTTACATGTACATTACAAAGTGACCAATAAAAATATTGTTTTTAGAAGCAATTCTTTGCTATGGTACTGTTCTTAATCTTGTTAATCTTGTTCGAAATGAAGTTTTGGCTCGTTATTTCAATGTTTTTTTCATTATATGGAGTTTCTTTTTATTTTTCTACCCAGGTCACCTGTTACGCGTTTTATTTTTCTTCTTTTTTTAAGGGAGAAAAAGGAGACTGTTATCTTAGTCAAGGGTTTTAGAAAGTAACCATAGAGGTTTACGTTGGTGGGTCAATTGCTGTTATAATATTTGGGTAGGATTTTTGACATTTAAGGAAAAATTTCCAATTGAAACACATCAAATAAAATTTTCAATCACTCGAATTTTCCAGAATAAATAATAGTAATCTGTTTAAAAGGCGTCCTGGAGGCGTCGAAAGATCTGCTTTTTGAAATAAAAATAATTACTTTGAAGCAATTCTATTATTGTAGACTCGCTAGACCACGAACAGTCATTTATGATGGCAGCAAATGCTGTCACCATCTATTTAAAAAAACTTTGAAATTCCCAGAATTGAAAACTGAATTTTTAATGTAAAAACTAGAGGAAGATCAAAACTGCCCTGACCGAAAAGTGTAAACAATTTTACCTGTAGTCAGTTTAGATACGTACTTAAGTAAAATATAAATTGGCTCGCAACTTTAACACCACATCCAAAGGTTTTATACATATCCGAATTTCGTTCTGATTACCAATACAAAAAAGTTTCTAGACCCCTGGGGTCTTATTTAAACTTTATTTAACATATTAAAAAGACATTTTCACATCAGTTATAGCTTTGACTTTCAAATCGGGAATATCATTCCCATGATCTTAACAATGGTCACCGAAGCTTAGGTGAGAAAAATACAATATGATATGCAGATGTTTTAACGAAATGACTATCGTTAACTAGAAACTGTGTTCTTTGGTTTCTATTTAAAATTCAAGGAATATTTAATGCTTCCGAGACATCAGCATCTACGATATGAAGGGAACCAAAGGTAAAAAGCTACCATGTTTTATTATGAATTTCTACCAATTTTCAAGGTTGCACTAACTGCGAAAGTTCTTTTTGTTGTCAAAAAGCCAGAGAATATCGTCTAAAAAGATATTTGATTGAGTTCAAATGAGCCAACCAACTAAATGACTTGTTCGAAGGCGAGCNATTTTACCTGTAGTCAGTTTAGATACGTACTTAAGTAAAATATAAATTGGCTCGCAACTTTAACACCACATCCAAAGGTTTTATACATATCCGAATTTCGTTCTGATTACCAATACAAAAAAGTTTCTAGACCCCTGGGGTCTTATTTAAACTTTATTTAACATATTAAAAAGACATTTTCACATCAGTTATAGCTTTGACTTTCAAATCGGGAATATCATTCCCATGATCTTAACAATGGTCACCGAAGCTTAGGTGAGAAAAATACAATATGATATGCAGATGTTTTAACGAAATGACTATCGTTAACTAGAAACTGTGTTCTTTGGTTTCTATTTAAAATTCAAGGAATATTTAATGCTTCCGAGACATCAGCATCTACGATATGAAGGGAACCAAAGGTAAAAAGCTACCATGTTTTATTATGAATTTCTACCAATTTTCAAGGTTGCACTAACTGCGAAAGTTCTTTTTGTTGTCAAAAAGCCAGAGAATATCGTCTAAAAAGATATTTGATTGAGTTCAAATGAGCCAACCAACTAAATGACTTGTTCGAAGGCGAGCAAAGCGAATATAAAATGTATCCTGTCATTTTTAAGACCTTCCGCCGCACCGACTGATTAAAACTACCTTAATAGTAGGGCTTTTGCGTTTTCGATGCAGAATAATGACATTTCATCTCAGTAAACAAACCTTTTTTTTTACAACCCTAAAGTAAAATACAAAAGGGTTTTGTAAAATCTTAAATGGCATACAAATGGGCCTCATACAGAGCTTTTACTCAGAGGCACTGATCAAAGAATCCGGTACTTAACACCAAATGACCACTCAATACATCTACTTCCCTTATGCAGGTGCTCGTAAGACTTTTGCTATTTATAAAGTCTTCGCAGGAAAGCAAAAAAGATAGCCAAAAGACCACGGAAGTGTTAGAGCAAAAAAGCTACGCTTTCACCGTATTTCAGTTTCGAAGATGCAGTGCCTTCCACCAACCAAACAGTTCAGATTCCTCCACTCCTGAACCAGAAGCATTACGAATAATCCGCACGGTCACATATCGGTCGGCACATATCTTCTAGAAAGTTTCTAAAGATGTGTTCCACTTCAGCATCCAACGCCTCAAACAGCTCAGTTTCTTTCACTCCTGAACCCGAAGCATTACGAATTACCCGCACGGTCTTGTTCAGTCTGATAGCAGCTCTCGCCTTGGTTGGAAATTATGTGGTGTGTCGAGCTGTCTGGAGATTTACCGGAGCCAAACCGATAGCACATTACCTTGTCAGTAACTTGGCTTTTGCTGAAATTATCAACATGGTTTGTACAGTGTTCATGTTCCACGCATATGAACCACCATGGTCTTGGGAGCTTGGGAGTGTCATGTGCAAGATTCTCGCCCCTCTACAGCTTACAAGTTCTCTGGTTATCACAGCATCCCTGGCCATTCTTGCTGTCTACCGATGCGTCTTGCTAATTAAACCCATGATCACCAAGCCAACACGTAGACAAACGTGTCGTGTTATACTTATCTGTTGGGCGGGATCTATTGGTCTGTCGGTTCCTGCGGGGCATTTTCGCGTCTTAAAATCATGGGACGAAAACTGCGAGTTGCGTCTCTGTGAGGAAGAATTCCCCCAAGGATTTGAACACTATCAGAACATTTACTCCATCGTCCTATTCGTAGTGAACTTTGTCTTGCCATTTGTAATAATGGCAATTTCTTATTCCCTGGTCGATAAGAAGATCAGAGAACACATCTTTGTCAAACAACGGCTCAGGGACGAGCAAAACAAGGCTATGTCAACTGTTACTCAGAATTCTGTGTGTACAGAGGAGCCACAATCAACGAAAAGAGGCAGTATGGTTTTTAGCCAATCAGGTGGCGTAAACCATGAGGAAATACAGCTCGAGTATGTTGCAACCAGCAACATCAAAGACGACGAGAGAGGACAACAACGGGAAAGCCATGACAAGTACGTCACGTTGAAAGAAGACACTGACCAAACTGAGAGCTCACCAAACGTTCGGACAGTTACGAAAAACGACAACAGCGCATTTGAGCTTGAAAACGACCTCCTAAAAATGATTTATGCTTTGGTGCTAGTCTTTGTAATTTGTTACATCCCATATCAAGTTAATTTCCTTCTAGTCGAATTCCAAGTTAAGGCATTTATGGCCTGGCCTCCTCGTCACATTCTTAGGAGGCATATTTATGTCCTGGGCTGTTTGCCAAGCGCCCTGCATCCTGTGTGCTACGGAATGATGAGTAAGTTCTATCATAAGGCCTTTATAAGGATAATAGCTTGTAGAAAATACAAGACTCAAAATGCCCATTAGAAGCGGGTACTACTGATACGGCTCCCGGGTAACCCCTATAATGGCCTAAAAGGTGAGGCTTGGCCAGAACGTGGTACCCTTTTTACGCTTCAAGTTTATGAAATGGAGAGAAATCTGTCATTTCGTTTCGAACAAAGGCCTAAAAGTGCTAACGGACTTTGTATGGCTGTCAAAATGTCGAGAATACGTTCTGGTTTTTTGATTTATTCATATTTAAAAGACATAGCATTTACAGCATTTAAAAGGGATGCAAAGTTCTAAACTATAGGCGTGTGAAAGGGATACCACTTGTCAATAGAGGGTACACGAAACTGGGGGTACCATTTCTGTCAAAAACTGTACCATGTCTGATATAAAAAGCTAAGTGGTCGGACCTCGGGCCGGAGCCTCCCCGTATAAATAATCGGATTAATTTGTTTTAAGAAAAAATGTAACATTAAGAAGACACTATAGCTATAGCGCCCGTTGGTGTTCGACTATACAGGTTTCACTACTGGCATCTAGAGAGAGTTCTTAATACAGTACTTTTAGTTCAGTTTAAGCCTCATGAGGATTACTCTAACAACTGTTGAGTTGTTTCATTTATTGGCCGAGTATATGGCCACTGACCAGAAACGTAGAAATTGGAAATAACAAGCTTAATTATAAGTTGTTATAAGCGATAAATTGATGATGATTTTTCGGAGAGTAGGAGATCTAATTTGTGAAAATATTTCATGGCATATTAGTCAAAAGGAAGTACATGGGCGGATATAAGGGGGCGCATGAACCACTTCAACCCTATCTTAATCCTCCCGTAAAATGATATGCCATAAACGTTCTTGCTAACTGGGCCATTTTCTAGTGGTTATTTTAAAAGCTGTGATACATGACAGGTACATAAGCTTTTAAGGTACATAATTGTATGTCACTGAAACAGTGTAGTCATTTTTTCAACTTCTGATAAGTGACAGCAGTCTACAATAGGGCCCCTGACGTCCACTGGAATTAAAGCAAACGCTGTGCTTTTTATGAGAACTTGTCTATATTTAAAAATCAATTGTCAGTCCAGTTTCTTGTCAGTGGCGGTGTGTTACGTTGTGTTGTTGTTCACGTAATCTTTTCATTTTAGAAGTGAACTGTAAACTTAGGGCGCTTTCCATTTGTCAGAAGTGACCGGCCAGACCATTCCTGCATGTCTTAATGAAAATTTCACGTTTAATCAAAACTATCCGGCCAGATCAGTCAGATCCTAAATAGCATGCACGAAGGAGATGGCTTTTAAGCAAAAACCCTAAAGAAAAAGCCGATTTCATTTGATATCTGACTAGTCCAGCCGGCCAGTTCTGACAAATGGAAAGCGCCTTTAGTGTAAATTTCGATCATATTGTAATTTGTTGGTTGTGCAGTGCAAGCACACAGTTCAGTGCATTAGTCTACATTATAAATGATTTCTATTTCGAGGGTGCTCAATAGGATCCCCCCCCCCCCCCCCTTTTTTAGGGTGGGGGTGGGGGGTTTTAAAAAAAAAAGGGGGGGGGTGTGGGGGGTTAAAAAAAGGAGAAAGGGCGGGGGGGGGGAAAAAAAAAACAGGGGGACAGAAATATGCAAAAAATTTGTCTGAGTAGGGTGACGGGGAAAAAAAAAAAAAAAATTATATATCTGACAGGCCCAGCGGGCAAGTTTGAAAAAAGGAAAACGCCTTTAGTGTAAATTTTGTATATTTTTTAATTTGTTGGTTGTGCAGGTGCAGCACCAAATTTAGGTGAATTGTCTTCAATATAAATGGTTTTTTTTTCGGGGGGGCCCAAAAGGATCCCCCCCCCCCCCCTTATTTGAAGGTTGGGATTCGGGATTTTAAAGCAAAAAGTGGGGTGACGTTCGGGATTAAAAGGATGCACGAGACGCGGGACGCCGAAAACAACCATCGGGATTACGAAATTGTGCAAAAATTTGGATCGGAATGCCGAGACGGATAATAATAATAATAATAATAATAATAATAATAATAATAATAATAATAATAACAATATTTTATTCAAATACATGTGCATATAAACATGACGAACCCTTTAAGGGGACCTTTTATTCCTATTATGAAGTAACACTGGGGATTTGGTACTTACTTATAGAAGTTTATGTACTGTAATATAAGCGATTGGTAGTGTAGAAGTTTATCAAAAATAAAGAGATTAATCGGCTAAATTGACATTTGCGTATCTTGAATAGGGTGGGGATTTAATTTTTTCCGCTGCAAAGACGCAGCGGCTATAAGCAGGCAGTCAACAAAAGCTACAGATCTGAGAAACGTATTTTTGAAAACCCCTTGACATAGGCCTTGTTTGGGAGTTTGGGAGATTCTGTGTGTTTGTTCTTTTTTTTTGCAAGGAGGAGTAGTTTTATCTTGGCGAGACGGAAAAACTGCATGTACAGAAAAGAAACAAAAAATGTTTAAAAAAATCCCTTTTTCAAACTGTTAAAAAACCTATGTTCGTTTTGTTTAGTCTCTGTGAAACAGGATACTAAAATTTTCAAGATCACACTGACTATACTGTAACAGGATTGGTCAAATGATTTCACAAAATACGTTGTCGGAGAGAGTTGTAAGAGAAAAAAGAAAATGCTAAAGTTATTTGAGCTGCCATGTTACGCATAGGAGGGATTAATCGCTCAGAATTTCTGCTACACTTTTATCTAGTAAAAAGTATAAAGGGAACATCTTTATTACTGCTGTCAGGCGTGGACTGTCTCGTGAGACACTGACGTCTTCTATCGCGTACGTGTGCAGCAAAAAAAAATAAAAAGAGAGAGATGACTGGAAAAGCTGAACTGAAAAATAAATTGAGTGCAATTGCTCCATGCTGTAAATCGTTGTAAATCATCTGTTTTATCCATATTTTGACCACATGTGATTTACAACAGACCCATAAAAATTGGATGATGTAATTCAGTGTAGTTTAAAACAACATATTTATTATTATCACTGGCAGCTGCCTTCAAGTCATGACCTGCAAAGCTGGCCTTTTTAAATGAGCGCCGATTTTAAGATTCACTTTAGGAAAAAGGAGCTGAAGAAAAAAACCCACACACACCATAAAACACAATCATCTTTCGCTAATTAAAAAGCTTTCAGTTACTTAGTTTCACAGTCAAGATGATAAGTGGTCATGTAGTGTGTGTAATACTTGAAGGTGATATCCTTCCTACCGCTTTAGCCGGTTCCAGGCGTTCGGATTGTGGAGTGCGGCGGGAAGTAAGATTGCGGGAAAAAATAATGTATCATCTTACGTTTCTGGGAAACCGCCCACTTACCCCTTCCCTAAGCCATCACTATGCCCTAAGTGAGAAGTAAGTGTTAATGCTGGCTTAGGGAAGGGGTAGGTGGCAAAATAATGTGGAGAGAGGCTCACATCTCTTCACGCCGTCCCTACGATCTGAACACCTGGAACAGGCTGCCACCGCTTTTATGCGCAAAGTCAAATCTTGTTGCTTTCCTTTACTTAACTTAAAAAAGCGAATAGCATGTAGTCTGACTCATGCATGACCCCGGCTTTATAAACCAGTCTCGATGTCTTTTTAATTGTCAGATTGGCACAAGCGTGCTCTGAGCATTTAGTATTTTGATCATTATGGGTGAGTTTACGGAGAAACTTTGAGGCAAATGGAATCCTTTTCAGGATATTTAATGTCTTTTTTATCTAATCATCTCAGCGCGACCTTTCTGAATTGTTCAGCTTTGTCCGGTTTAAAATTATTACAGCAAGCGAATGACGCTAGAGCTAGGAAAGTCTCCCATCTAGAGGAGACGCTACACGAGGTGGAAGATCATCTTCGCGCGTTCTTTGCGTTTATATCGGTCACTCTCTACTTTCTACGAGAAAAATCAAGACTACCCGTAGTCCATGATATGTTACACTGACCATTGAAGGTGTACAAGTTTATAAGGGGCTGCTTACTTGGAAGAAGGAAGATCCTACCACTAGGAAGATACTGATCATGATCCGGATCATCCTAGCATCGTACGTATAATGCATGTTTCCTGTATTCAGTTTACATGCAAATGTTGTACTTGTCCCTAGCGCTAGCATCTTCCTAGCTGAGAGATCCTTGTGTACCAGGCCCGGAAGCGGGGGGGAGGGGGGGGGGGGCCCCACATATGAAAGGGGGGGGGATTCTCGTCGTCTCGCTTAAGAGTGTTTTAATTTTGGGTTTTGGTCTCACTTAGGGTGTTCTGGGCCAAACGCCATCATATTTAGCCGTGAAGGTCTCGTTTAGGGTTGCATGCGAAAAAATATAAAAATATATATTTGATATGTATATTTTTAATTCGTTTTATTTACTCCATTCATATAATCCAAGTTTTCTATAACATCAATATTAAAAAGAAGAAATCTTTGTCCATTGTTTTCATTTGTCTGTGTTCTAACATGGTCTCTTTTAGGGGTCAAAAAAAGCTTGGGCCACGCCCAGATCGGTCTCCTGGTTTAATTCAAAATTTCCGACGAGCATCCCCACCCCTTTCATATGCATAGCCTCCCCCCCCCCCCCGAGTACCAGGAAGATTCTAGCACCATGTTAACTGCCTTCGCTAGGAAGATCCTAGTCCTGGGGACAAACAAAACAAAGATGGCGGCGGGTCGTTTAATGGGTAATTTTTAATCTTTAATTACTTCTCTACTGTTAAATCGTCCTGGGGCCGGTTGCTCGAAGCCTGGTTAGCGCTAACCGTTGGTTAAGAGGTATCAAAATGTATAGGTTTCCATGGTATTTAACGCTGGTTAGTACTAACCATGCTTCGAGCAACCCGGGCCTGGTGCTAGGATTTTCCTAGCTCCCTCCACTTAAACAAGCCCTCAGTTGGCGTTTTATTCCACTAGTTCCGACCAGGCCTTTGTCAGAGCAAATGCAACGGTCAAAACGTCTACTTACGACGGTGGATAATAAATTCGGGTTCATTTCTCAAAACTAGCGATAGCTTTTTAAACCGGAAGACTTATTCAATTCGATACATTGAAATCTGAATATTCCTGAACGCCTAAGTTGACAGAGTATGTATGCTTTACAGGCTAATAATTACACCAAAATTATACATTATAAGGACTTTAGAGAAAAGGATTCTTGGTGATATGGCCATACAGTTTCTTTGAAAGCTGGCCTTTTTTATTTCTGTATAATTCCGCTTCGAGAGAAACTGACTTTTAAGTTGCACGCAAACGAGCCCTTGAATTATGGCCAAAAAAGAGAGTAGAAAGAGAGATACTTCAGCCGTATAAATTCTAAATAAAAAAAGAAATACGCGGTCAAAAATGGTATGCAGCCCTAACCGACAAAAAGAGGTGACAACATGTCAATGTCAACATGTCAATTTTCACTTCAGTCATTACACTACAATGTGTACGCAGGGCACAGGATGAGCTCCGCTTTAAATTTGCCACTCTGATCTCTACGCTACTTTCTTCGGCAGTCATTTTTCTAGTTCAAAGGTTATTTGGCCTTATGGGCTCTATTATGTTCGGGTCCGTTTTTTAACCCTGTTTGGGCGTTGTTTTTGGTCAGAGGAAGTTGGACAACAGTTCACAAGTCACTCTGGGGCAAATGACATTTACAACAAAACGTCAGACTGTATGGATCTTGCTCATCCATATATTTTTGTTGCAATAAAGCAATTTCTTTGCATGGTCGCTGCAAATGTTCCTGTCATCATTGGTTATTGCCATTTTTAGACACTTAGAAAATTTTTAAACCAATACTAAATCACACAACAATCCAGAAATGACCCAGGGCATTTCGTATGCTAATCTTAGTGTCCTCCTTTGCACTACAACCCTGATTTGCCACGACAATATTCTAAAACTGAACAAAGGTATAGGTAATAATAACTGTCTTTCGTCGCTGATCTATGTATCATAGGCGACACTTGCCATTTCCCAAACCTTTATCCTAAGTTCAACTTTTAAACCTCGTTCTCCCTGAGACTACTCTTAAACGTCTGTCGCCGAGGGGAACAGACTGGGATCGCCCCCCCCCCCCCCCCCCCCCCCCCTTTACTTTTTTCGCCCAGCGCGCCTTTCTTTATTGCATTTTTACTTTTCTTTTCTTTTTTCTCCCCTTACTGAACACGCAAAACACGATATCACCCCACCCACCACAACACACCTCCCGCCTGCCTCCCGCATTAACAAAAAAAAAAACACAAATCTGTTTCCTCCACTGTGTTCTCTATTCTAGCCGACACCTTCACCTTCCACAAACTTTTTCCCCAATTCAACTTTTAAACCCCTTTCCCCCCGGGACCACCTCTAAACCCCTGTGGCCGGGGGGAAAAAACCGGGGCCCCCCCCCCCCCCCCCCTAATCTTATAGTCTGGATGACCGAGTCGCTCTTTACTGAAGGTCTGAATCTTCCTTAGTACCTATTACACCTGTAGAGTTATGAAGAAGGATCAAACAGGGAGGCAGCGTGGCCGAGTGGTCAGCGGGTCGGACTTGTAATCCGGCGGTCATCCCGAGTTCAAATCTTCGGTCACGCTTGAAAATAGCTAACTGGTTGCCTCCTGTCAGTTGGGGTTTTTAATCCTGTTATGTTGTATTTGAATTATTTGTTTTCTTAGTATTTACTAATTGTAAAGCGCTTTGGATCACTGAGAGAAAGACGCTATATAAGTGTATATATTATTATTATTATTATTTTTATTTTTATTATTAAATTTCATTAGAGAGTACAAACCATAATAAAGTTTTCGTGATTTTTACATTAAAACCCGAAAAAGTTGATCCAAGTTTTTCAAACTTGAATCCATGTTCATCCTTCCCATCCGTAGCAACAGACGACAGGAAACAGTGTCAATGCCTAAAGATAGTCTTAAATAACAAAACTGGCCCATTGTTAGTTTTTGGAATGCAATTGATGCGAAGACGCGTTTTGGTTTTTTTAAAAAAGTAGCAAATAGCATGACATAGTCCCGAGCACTTATCTACGTCTACTCTGACGGAAGGCTAACCGCTTGGTTACCAGTGATGACATTGACCGTTAGAAATGACAACTACTGTTTATACTTAAGACAAGACTTAAGTGCCAGCATGTACAAATTAGGCCCTGTAAGAGCAAAGATCTTTTTCCCTGCTTTTGTTGAGCGCCACACTTGCCCAGGGGGTTTAAAAATGATTCTGGAGGGTTGGATCGTTAATATAAACTTTCATTGCTTAATTACTGAGTGACTGAAAAACGTGGCTATTTTCCATCGTTGTTATGACTTCATACAGTTTGAAACAGTCATCACACTGCTCTGCGATTAATAAGAACGACCGCCGCGAAAGGTCCAAAATTTTGGGCAAAGTTGGACAAAACCCACAAATGCGATAAAAACTGTATTTTAGCTGTTAAGTAAATATAAGCCACTTCTGGCTACAAACGCTTGAAATCTGATTGGAAAAAGCCATTTCAGATCTGCCAATTCTCGCAGCATGTCGTTCTATCTTAAGGACATTTCGCCGTGTTTGCGTAAGACTTATTTCATTCGCCATCGTTTCTATAACAAAAACATGTGTTTTATAAGGGCAATGACAAGGTTAAAGGCGTATTCTTATTCTATTCACGTCCACACATTATACAAAATTGTCAAATGAAGTAAAACTTCTTTCACGTAAGACGTTAAGACTTTACCTTACGCTGAATGACGGTTGAAACGAAAAAGAAAACTTTCGTAGGATTTATTAAAAACAAGTAATCAGCCTAACACCAACGCTAACGAAAGCTGTTTACATTTATAGACTAATATCTTAGATAAGGGAGTTGGTTTCAAATGAAACCTTCGTGCTGTGTTGGTGAGGAAGTCAAAATCTATATATTACATGTTTATCAGCTTATATAAAACTATTTGTATACTTAGGATGATTTTCAGTTTTAATCCAATTACCCTCCCTTTTCGGTTTGACAGTTGAAACAGGTGAAACGACACTGAAAATTTCCTAGGATTTCATTAATTAAAAACATATACTTAGCCTAGCACCAAGGAAGATTATTTAAACTAAAACTAATACCTAACTAATATCTTCGATAAGAGGGTTGCATGGTTTAATAGAAACTTTGTTGCTTTGTTGATCAACTGATAAAACTATAATTTTAATACTTTAGATGATTTTTTAATCCAGTCACCCTTCCTTTTCTACACTGAGTGATTTGCTTTTGCCACTTTACCATAAGGAGCGCCCATGAACTTTTTTGTATTAATTTCTCTATATAATGTTTTCTTTTAATTTATTAGGCTTTATAGGTCATCGAAGTCGCCATCAAATATCTAAAAGACTATATATATTCATTAATAAGACACCCCGTGTGAGCAAAAGTAATAAATTTTTCATTGCAAGCGTGCTTTTGATCCGAATTTTAACTAAAGTAAGAAAGCGCCCTAAACCGTGCCTACCGTGGTGAAGGAATTCCTCTACTTACCAAAGAGTTGACAGCACTTTGATACCAACTGAGCTTTCCTTTTTACCCTGCGTTTTCTTTCAACAATATCTTTGACTGCGAAATTTATCCTGAAAACGCTAAATTATAATAGAAATAGAATTCTAATGAACCCCTCTCATTAATTCCACATAATAACATAAACAATAAGCCATTTTGCCAGAGGCAAACATAAATGTATCCGGCATTTTTCAGATAAAGATCTATTAACGGCGGTGTATAGTTCGACGGGTCTTCTCAGGTCAGGAAAAACAAGTCAGTTTACATTGCAATTTCAGTTCAATTTACTTCGCAATCGTTTTTACTTCGTCAACATCATGACTTGCTTTCTCGTGTAGATCACAAGTGAGTAATGAAACGAAATGTGAACATGGTTTTGGCTGTGTATCAAGATCCTTAGCCACTTTCTCGTGAACATGGCCTGTATCACTAACACTGTTAATAAGTCAAGCGAAGCAGATGACGTTTCCTTCACTCCTGAACCCGAAGCTTTACGAATAATCCGCACGGTCTTGTTCAGTTTGATAGCAGCTCTCGCCTTGATTGGAAATTGTGTGGTGTGTCGAGCTGTTTGGAGACACAAAGGAACCAAACCAACAGCACATTACTTAGTCAGCAACTTGGCTTTTGCTGAAATTATCAACATGGTTTGTGTAGTATTCACGTTCCACGCATATGAACCACCATGGTCTTGGGAGCTTGGGAGTGCCATGTGCAAGATTCTTCCCTCTCTGCAGCTAACAAGTTCTCTTGTTATTACAGCATCCCTTACCATTCTTGCTGTCTATCGATGTGTTTTGCTTGTTAAGCCTATGATCCCAAAACCAACTCCTAGACAAACGTGCTGTGTTATACTTATCTGTTGGGCGGGATCCATTGGTCTGTCTTTTCCTGCAGGACATTTTCGTGTCTTGCAATCATGGGGCGACCAATGCGAGTTTGGCTTCTGCGCGGAAGTGTTTCCAGAAGGATTCACCCATTATTTGAAAGTTTATTCGATGGTTCTATTCGTTATAAACTTTGCTTTGCCATTTGTCATAATGGTTATATCGTATTCGTTGGTCAGAAAGAAAATCGGCGAACACATTATTGTCATTCAAAGGATTCGCAACGAGCAGAGCAACGTGATGTCATCTTTGACTCGACATTCTGTTTGCTCAGAAGACCCACATGTGATACAAGCAGGTCAAGCAGGCCATCTTAAACAAGAGCAAATCGAGTTGTTAAACATTACTCAAAACAAGAATGCAAAGAAGAGCAATAATCCTCAGTCTGGAATGCAGTATCTTAATTCTGAAAAATTATTACCAAGCAACCAAGTATCAAACACGACCGATAAGAATACCTTAGAACTCGAGAATGATATAATGAAATTAGTTTTTGTGTTGGTGATGATTTTCGTAGTATGTTATATCCCATATCAGGTTCAGTTTCTGTTGCTAGAATTTAGAGTTAAGGTCTTTTTTTACTGGCCTCCTCGTCACATTTTTAGGAGGCTTGTATTTACTTTGACTTGTTTACCAAGTGCCCTTCATCCTGTCTGTTATGGTTTAATGAGCAGATTTTATCATAAAGCGTTTATGAGGGTGATAGCTTGTAGAAATCGTGAAAATCAATACGTTTAGCTATATTGCCTGAGGCGTAAGACCTACATAAGAGTTTGATAAGGAGGGATATAAAACTGTCGGTAGCATTCGTTCAAAGTCGGCTTAAAACATAAAAAAATGAAAGGCCTTTCTATGCTAAAATATTTAATGAAAAATCAGTCGTACATTTTGCCCTGCACCTGTGAGAAGTTCATTGTTTAGGCACCGAGAGTGGTAGAATTATTCGAGGTGTCCCGCAGACTGACGAACTAAAGAAGCTAGGTATTTTTAAAATTTAAGATGACGTTAGTGATATGTTTTGGTGCAAAATGTTCTTCGGCAGCCAGTCTGGAAAGCATATTGTTTAATTCACTCAATAACAGCAGTTTAACAAAGGATGAGGAGAGAAGTTTAACCTGTTCAGCAGGAGTTAAAGAGGTTTATGGGACAAACATAACGCGAGCAAAAAAACTTTGCCCTTCATGATCAGTTGTTTGTTTTTTCCTTTAACCCTCTATTGTTACAATAACTTTTGTATTATGACGTCCAGTCTACAAGTTAATAAATTATTAAACATAGTCTTGCAAATAACAAACTATTGTTTAAGCACCGAGCTATTGAAGGCGTCCTGCAGTTCCGAAATAAAGATTCGTGCTCAGCCGTACATTTTACAATAAATGAATAAATACGACAAAAGCATGCACTCGTAAAATGCAACCAACAATCAATAACAAACATTTTACCGATGATAAAAGTAAATCGATAAAAGTACACATGCCCCAAAACAATAATTTGACAATTTATTATTTTGCCACAAATTACATTTATTAGTTGATAAATTATTCAACACTGAGTCTGAACTGATCGAGGCGAGGGAGCCCACTCTCGATCACAGAGACTTCGTTTATAAAGGGTAGGCAGATGGAAACCAGGTTCGTCATCGTCAGATCAATTCGCATGTTTGACCATACAAACAACAGCAAAATAATAACATAGCAAGGGCTATTATGGCTCTTGAACATGGCTAAAAACACACAGCCACACACACACACACGAACCCCCGTGACACATATTTCATCCGCACGATTTATTGCAAGCAAGGTATGCTGGGAGAGGAGGAAGATATTATCGGAATATTTTGTTCGTATGCGGTGAACTTAGCCATTTAAGATTTTTTATTTTTTCTGGTTTTCATAGAAAAATATCTAGTTTGGAATCTAGTTGTTTTTGGTTCGGAAGGACAGTATAACAAAACAAGACGCCGTAAAAACGTTAACTCGAGCTTCCTTAGAGATTGGACAAGAAATGCATCAGAAGAACCAAAACGTTTCCATTTTCTTCCGACTCCGCTTACGACTCCGTTGCTTACGTTCCTCTAAGCTTCTGATCTAGAGAAAACCAGATTGTCGGAGTCGGACGAAGGATAGAGCAATCACAATGCACGTTCCCACGCTTTGTGATTGGTTTAGTGTCTCCGCTTCTGCTTGCGACTCCGACCCATTTTTCACTTGATCGTAAACGTCGGAGTTGTTGGCGGAACCAGAACGGCTGTTTTCACTACGCTTCTGATTACGACTCCGACTCCGTCGCTAGTGAAAACCAGCCTTAAGGAGCCTGAGTGAGGGCGAGGAAGACAGGTGAGAAAGAGAAAAAAGCTGCCAGCTAGGCGGGGTACAGAGTAACGAATATTTGTTTAAGTAGTCTGTGCAAGTAAATCTGTTATTCAATATACAGAGGTGCCCGGTAACTCCGCTATAATTTTTTTAAGTAATGTGTGTGCAGTCTCGGCCCTTACATGATGGTCACTATCGATTATATTGTTAAGTGGAGATCCATTTTGAATGCCGAATTGCACTAAGCTAATTGAGTTCAGACCCGTGTGTAGCAGGTGAAATAATTGAGCAACATATGGAATACATAGGCACATTAATATCGCAAGACGGTGACGACAACGAGAACGTCAAAAAAAGCAATAAGTTTAAGACGCAAAACAACAAATGATACAACTTAGCAAGTGCAGCTCAGTTTTTTGTACATGTCTGCTCGCGACTACGACATGAAATTGCCTAATTTTCTGTTTTATGGTAGACGAAAACAAACGACAAGGAAGTTTTCTTTCTCTTAGTTAGGAATTCAACTCCAGAAGTGTCCCCCTGTATTTGACAAACTAAGTGAGTTGGAATAATCGCGATGAAGATTGAAAAAAAGGCGAGTTCTTTTATTAAACGACAGTTTCGCCGCCATAGCCGCCCTCGGACCTCGAGGCCCGCTAAAAGCTGTTGCAAAACAGTTGTCTTTGAAACACTTGTGTTTGATCGCATGATCTGATGATGTTCTATTTAATACTCTTTCCTAAGGGATACTCTCCGTTACGGTTAACAGACGTCAGTGAAGAAGAAAACGTAGTTGTTTTGAAAGAAAAAAGTTTCTATCGGTTTATGACAAATTACAGCAAAAAAAGTCATCAGTTAACTTTTTTTAGAACTCAAGGTTAAAGAATTTCCCGTATTTTTTTTCGCCTAACAACTGAAGTACTCTTGCGAAAAATTTGTGGCTGTTTTACGGCTAAGCGTTTAACCCCAATAAGACCCTTTCGTATGCCTCGAGAGTAATCTAAAGGTTCACTTGGACAACTACCTGGCCGTGGATTATGTTCTTGCGGGAATTTATTGGTGGTTCAGATATCATGCGATCGGCAAATGGAGTAAATACAGATTCCCAGGAAAAAAAAACACTTAACAATAACCGCGCCATGAGAGAAATGCTAACGAGCGAATTTTGTGGTCTGGCAGTGATTCACGGAATCTTGTAATTGTCATCTGAGTTGCCAGTCCCAAATCCGACATCGAAGTCCTTGAAAAGCCGGCATCCGAGTTGCAAAAATCCGATATCCGAGTTACAAGCCCGAGGGTACTACTCAACAAAGTTTGCAGTACAAGGAGGCTCCGACTGGAGGTCCAACCCCTTACCCTTTTCATTTACGACAGGAATGGTACCCATTCCGTATACCTTTTATTGTCACATGGTGTCCCATTCACATACCTACTAACAGTACGTCTTTCTGTCATTTTATGTAGCGTTAAATAAATTAAAATGATACAGCCTTAAGGTACGTAAATTAAACTCCTAAATCAGTGACAAGTTTCCATATACCCCTTCCAAATACTTTAACTGGTGAGATTCCTACCCTTTCATATACCTGAAGCCTGAAAAAGGTACCCTTTTGTTCATAGGAAGTATTCTACCGAGGTTATATTAATAAGCTTCCCAGTAGCTTTGGGTTCTTTTAAGGCAAAATTTTATGTGCATTTATACAAACTTCTTTGGGAGAAATAAAGGTAAGAATTGCACCCACGCATGACTTGCAAATTGAGAGCAACTACTAAAATAAAGCTTGCAATAATTTAAAACCAAGCTCTATCTCAAAAAATAAAAGGGTACAGCGACTTTGATTTTTTAACTAAGTTGTTAAAACCCCATATAATACCATTTCACAGTTATCAATAAGTGTCTATACTTTCAAAAAAGTCCTTCGTCCGATTTAATAGGGCCATTTATACGAGGAAAAATAAGACGCGTCTTACATAAGACGCGTCTTAAATAAGACGCGAACTTTCCGTATAAACGGCACATTTCGTCTAAAATAAGACGCGACTTAGCTAAGACGAGTCTTATTTTAGAACAGCCCTTAACACCTGTTCTTAGATAAGACGAGTCTTAGCTAAAACGAGAAAAACTTCGTATAAATGACCTTCGAGTCTTACATAAGACGCGAACGCATTGTACGCATGCGTTAATTTTAGCGCGCCATGTTTGATTGCCGTTGCTACGGGCAACATCCACATGAAAACGAGTCAAGAACAGAAATAAGACGCGAACCATTTATACGAGCTGTTTTCGTCTTAGATAAGACATGCTCGTATAAATGGTACAGTTCGCGTCTTATTTTAATAAGACGCGTCTTATTTTTCCTCGTATAAATGGCCCTAATATGGCGCGGAGGAAGCGAGGAAAAAAAAAACTCGTAAAGAGAAACTTGTGAGGTCGACTTCTGGCAAGTTTACTAAGTGTCCTAAGCTACAACCAGTTGCAAAAATGTTGAGACACTCCAATGAAAAACCAGCCTTTCTTACTCCAAATCTCCACCGTTAAGAGCAGTTAACGGACCGTACGTTCTGCACAAACCGTCACTAGGACTCACGGTCCGTATGCTGAGCACATACGGAGCGTGCATCTCATTATTACATGAGAGCACAATGCGTTACGGTTCGTTCGATCCGTACAGTCGGTAGACATACGGAGCGTGCATCTCATTATTACATGAGGGCACAATCAATACGGTTTGTTCGATCCGTACAGTCCGTAGACATACGGAGCGTGCATCTCATTATTACATGAGGGCACAATGCGATACGGTTCGTTCGATCCGTACGATCCGCACGGCAAGAGAGGCGCACTCCAACTGTAATATTCCTCGCTCTATAAACCATAAACCAACACAAGCGCAAAAACCAAGAAAGGCACACTCCAAATGCAATATTCCTCGTTCTATAAACCATAAACCAACACAAGCGCAAAAACCAAGAAAGGCACACTCCAAATGCAATATTCCTCGTTCTATAAACCATAAACCAACACAAGCGCAAAGCCAACATTCCTCGTTCTATAAACGATATACCAACACAAGCGCAAAAACCAAGAAAGGCACACTCCAAATGTAATATTCGTCGTTCTATAAACCATAAACCAACAAAAGCGTAAAAACCAAGAAAGGCACACTCCAAATGTAATATTCCTCGTTCTATAAACCATAAACCAACACAAGCGCAAAAACCAAGAAAGGCACACTCCAAATGTAATATCCCTCGTTCTATAAACCATAAACCAACACAAGCGCAAAGCCACACATTCCTCGTTCTATAAACGATATACCAACACAAGCGCAAAAACCAAGGAAGGCACACTCCAAATGTAATATTCCTTATCTATAAACCATAAACCAACACAAGCGCAAAGCCACACATTCCTCGTTCTATAAACGATATACCAACACAAGCGCAAAAACCAAGAAAGGCACACTCCAAATGTAATATCCCTCGTTCTATAAACCATAAACCAACACAAGCGCAAAACCCAAGAAAGGCACACTCCAAATAGCTCCAAATGTAATATCCCTCGTTCTATAAACCATAAACCAACACAAGCGCAAAAACCAAGAAAGGCACACTCCAAATGTAATATTCGTCGTTCTATAAACCATAAACCAACACAAGCGCAAAGCCACACATTCCTCGTTCTATAAACGATATACCAACACAAGCGCAAAAACCAAGAAAGGCACACTCCAAATGTAATTTTCCTTCTTCTGTAAATCAAAATAACCCAAAAAACACGGTATGCATGCTCTAGGTTTTATGCTTGTGTCTAAATGTGATATACTTGTAAGTCAAAAACCAACAGAAGCGCGCTTCAAATCGAAGAACAATCGTCAATAAGTTTGTAATTAATATAAGCACGCACCGAATGTAAAGGCAAGATAAGCAAGCACCAAAAATGTAATATTCAAATGTAGTATTTCTTTATGTAACCAAGATAAGCATGCTCTATATAAATTTAATGTTCCTTCTCTATACGCCAAAAACAAAAGCAAGCGCACTTTAAATGCAAATGTTCTTCGCTTGCTTTTCTTACTACGTTTGCTGCACAAAACAAATGTAATATTCATTATAAAACTGCTCCTCGTTCTAATATCACAAACGAGGGCACGCGCGCTTCAAATGTAACAATCGCCTCGTTTTGCAGGTTTTATATAAGCTGTCAAATTTTTCGCAATAAGCAAGCAGAACTTTGTATAACCATGATAAACATGCTCTATATCAATTTAAGTTTCCTCTTTCTATACGCCAAAAACAAAAGCAAGCGCACTTTAAACGTAACTTTTCTGCGGCAAAACTGTAAGAACAATCGTCTGCAGTTCATGAAATAGGAATGTTGATGCGAACATATTTTCACAACGAAGTGTAGTCGTCAAATACTACTTAAAAAGTACTCTTATTGGTTAGAGACTTTTATTCTTTTGGTGGCTCCTAAAAGAGCCCTTTTTTGTGTCCTGCAGTGCAGGGTTTTTCCTTCTTTTATGATTTTTCTTTTTTTTTCTGCTGCGTCCTGTTGGTGCTGTGATTACTGTTTCGGTAGCTATAGTCCATTTAAATACAAACGTTTGTTGTGGTCTACGTCAAAGTAGAACTTCTGCCTTTGACAGGTATCTGATGGTCTCTCTATATTCGTCGACCCAAGACATCTTCCCACAATAGTAGAGTTATGGTTTCTTAGTATTATTCAACAGTGGAAAAATGGTTGTTTGAGACCACGCGTTAATCTATATGTGTGATAGTGGCAACCAATCACCATCGACTGTTTACTAACTTTAAGCATTTAAGTTTGTCACACCTTTCTGTTTCTTTATAATTTTTTCACATCTCATTGTTAATATATCATCGGGGCATTTATTATTCACATTTTATTTTTTCTCATATCACCATCGCACATTTTCCTGCGCACAATCTGGCTAGCAAAACGTCATTTTCAACGTGAAATCCGCGGATCAAAAAAAACTCTCATCTCCTACGGGCCCTTACCATCATAATTTTCTTTCTTGTTTACGATCACTGACATCTCAAAGTTGTAAATAATTCCAAATATTGACCTACCCGGGCAAGTGACAACATACTTTTTTACAATTAACCTTTCCTATGATGTACCTGCTGCTAAAAATGTTACTTAACCCACAATCTAGTACATGTAGATGTTCCAGTTCAATTTTGTGTTGTGGATCAATTTTATCCTTGGTTTAATTCATATTTTCCAAATTTGTCTTGTGCTATAATGTTTGAAAAGGAAGAAAATAAAGTTCAAATCAAGAGTAACATTTCACCAATACACATTAGTTATAACCCATGATATGGTTTGAAATATTCGTTTCAGGTCGCCAACTTTGACACTGTAAAAGGTACTCAAGAAAAAACGCGTGCTGAAAAAGGGCAAAAAGTAAAGAAAGTGAACACTGTAATGCAGTTAGTTACGATAGAATTTTAGCCAAAAGATTGTAAAATATTGCACTTTGGACACTGAGTATACATAACAGTCAATGTAAAATTATCATAATATTTGCAACTACACTACCTCGAGTTTACAGCATCATAGTACTGAATATCTCTCTTATAACTTATCTCCTAAATTATAGGGACCCAATGATCCCCAACGTGAACCTGGTGCACTTTACGGACCGAAGAGAACTCGTCACAAACCGTATACCCCTTTCGTCGGTCCGTACCGTCCTTACAGATCGAAAAACGGTAAATACCCACTCTTGCCATGAAAATATTCTAAGTCCCACTAATGAAATGCGATTTACGGACCGTAAAACACACTTTACAGACCGTATACCACTTTTGTCGATATGTTCGATCCGTACAGATCGACAAACCGTATATAACCACTCTTGCCATGAAAATATTCTAAGCCGCGCTAATTAGATGCGATTTACGGACCGTAAAAAATCTTTACAGACCGTATACCCCTTTTGTCGATCCGCTCGATCCGCCCGGATCGACAAACCGTATATCACCACTCTTGCCATGAAAATATTATAAGTCCCGCTAATTAGATGCGATTTACGGACCGTAACACACTCTTTACAGACCGTATACCCCTTTTGTCGATCCGTTCGATCCGTACGGAGCGACAAACCGTATATAACCACTCTTGCCAAAAATATCCTAATATCCAGTAATGAGATTCGATTTACGGACCGTAAAACACTCTTTACAGACCGTATACCCCTTTTGTCGATCCGTTCGATCCGTACGGATCGACAAACCGTATATAACCAGTATAACCACTCTTGCCATGAAAATATCCTAATTTCCGGTAATGAGATGCGATTTACGGACCGTAAAAAATCTTTACAGACCGTATACCCCTTTTGTCGATCCGTACGGATCGACAAACCGTATATGACCACTCTTGCCATGAAAATATTCTAAGTCCCACTAATGAGATGCGATTTACGGACCGTAAAACACTCTTTACAGACCGTATACCCCTTTTGTCGATCCGTTCGATCCGTACGGATCGACAAACCGTATATCACCACTCTTGCCATGAAAATATTCTAAGTCGCACTAATAAGATGCGATTTGCGGACCGTAAAACACACTTTACAGAACGTATACCCCTGTTGTCGATCCGTTCGATCCGTACGGATCGACACATGGCTTATACGGACCGTTACGGTGCGGGTGTATTGGACAACCCTCCAAATCTCTGCTAGTCACCCTTCTGTGCAATATAATACTCACCTCCCTCCTACCCTCCCTTCAAAGTTGTTCCTCCAAGTTTTGAGCATGGTCTTGTATTGCTAGCAACTTTGATAAGAGGAAAAGGGGGGATCACAAGCACAAGATCATGGGCAAGCCATTTAAGCCAAAAGGTACAGTGTCTTGAAGTACTTTTGCAACTGGTTGTAGTTCGTTCCTGGTAGTGGTGTGCCGGTCATCGATTATAATAGATCATCGATCGAAATCTTTAAGCGATTCGATAATTGATAAAAAAAATGTTCAATCGATTATCGACGGGAAAAAATAACATTTACTGTTAGCAATTAAACATATTAAATACTTGAGTGTTGCCGTTTTAATGGTACCATAATTAAAGAAGAGACTTTGGTCACTCGAAAGAACAGTAACAATTCCGAGCTTACCGTAAATGATCGATTAAGCGCCGCTACTCGAATACGCACCGCTCTCGAATAAGCACCGCGGCGCTAATTTGGGTATTTACAAATTAACGCCCCGTCTTTGTTACGGCGCTTGATATAAAGAGATATCAAGACCAAATCGCTTGAGAAATAAGACCTCGACCAACTCGTGATCGAGTTCTAAAGGTTAATTGAAACCGGCGTATAAATTTTATATTAAATTGTGCATACCTAGTACGCACCTCCCTTAAGTCTCTCTATATTCCCCTCAGAGTTTTACCCGTAGTTGAAATAAGCAACGCTCTCAAATAGTGCGTCTCTCGTATAAGCGCCGCACCTATAACGGGGAAAATGAAATAAGCGCCGCGGCGCTTAATCGGTTATTTACGGTAGTGGTCCACGGTCAAAAAACTCAGAAAGATATTAAATGTACGTTGACTAGCACAAAGGTAGAAAAATAAATGGAATTCTTATAAAGAAATTTTCCGGTTATAATCGATGATCGATCGAGTGGCTCAATACGATTATTTGCAATTAACGATCATGAAATCTCAGGCGATTTCCCAACACTGGTTAATGATCTTCCTGCATCCAAGCTGGGTGAGAAATGAGTGTGCGCTTGACCTGGTTCTGAACATAGTAAATACACTGTATTTACTAATTACACTGGAACTATAGTCTGAATTACAATCGCAGACTGTCAAGAGATTGTAACTGTGCTCAAGCAGATGTGTTTAAAGTATGTTGCACATTGAACACAGCTTACCAGAGTCAGTTGTCACGTTAGAGCACTGAAATGCTTGATTCTGGAAATTTACGGCTTCAGAACGGTTTTGATGTTTACTGGACTCCTCAAAATCCTCTACTTGCTTGTCGTGAACATGACCTGAGTGACCATCAGTCGTTGTAACATTTAAAGGCCCTTGATGCTGCATCGAACGATCTAGGTCATTTGGCTTCTGGTGAATACATCCTGAGTTACTGTTATGTTTACCAGCAGGCTTGTTTTTCTCAATTGCGACAGCACGATCTTCATATTCCTTTGAGCGATCAAGGTCACCTAAATGGTGGTGAATAAGGCCCAATGAATAATAACTCAATGCAACTCCGGCATGATCAAGACCAAGCCTTAGGAAAATAGCAAGACCACGCTCATGATATTCCTTCGCGCGCTCAAGGTCACCTAAATCTTGCTGAACTAGACCCAGAAAATGGTACCTAAGTGCAACGTTGGCATTGTCAGGACCGACCATCTTTTGCTCAATAGCAAGAGCACGTTCATAACATTCCTTTGCGCGCTCAAGGTCACCTAAGTCCTGGTGAGTACATCCCAAGTGATGGTAAAAGCTCGCAACTTCGGCATGGTCAGGACCGAGCCTCTTAAGGCCAATAGAAAGAGCACGCTCATGATTTTCCTTTGCGCGCTCAAGGTCACCTAAATCGTGGTGAGTACATCCCAAGTGATGGAGACTTAATGCAACATCGGCATGGTCAGGATCAAGCCTCTTTAGGTTAATGGCAAGACCACGTTCATAATATTCCTTTGCGCGATCAAGGTCACCTAAATCGTGGTGAGTACGTGCCAAGTGATGATAAAAGTTCGCAACTTCGGCATGGTCAGGACCGAGCCTCTTTAGGCCAATAGCAAGAGCACGCTCATGATATTCCTTTGCGCGCTCAAGGTCACCTAAATCCCGGTGAGTACGTCCCAAGTGATGGTAAAAGCTCGCAACTTCGGCATGGTCAGGACCGAGCCTCTTTAGGTCAATAGCAAGGGCACGCTCATGACATTCCTTTGCGCGCTCAAGGTCACCTAAATCCTGGTGAGTACATCCCAATTGATGGTAAAAGCTCGCAACTTCGGCATGGTCAGGACCGAGCCTCTTTAGGCCAATAGCAAGAGCACGCTCATGATTTTCCTTTGCGCGCTCAAGGTCACCTAAATCGTGGTGAGTACATCCCAAGTGATGGAGACTTAATGCAACATCGGCATGGTCAGGATCAAGCCTCTTTAGGTTAATGGCAAGAGCACGTTCATAATATTCCTTTGCGCGATCCAGTTCACCTAAATCGCGGTGAGTACATCCCAAGTGATGATAACAACTCGAAACGTTGGCATGGTCAGGACCGAGCCTCTTTAGGTAAACGGCAAGAGCTCGTTCTTGATGTTGCTTCGAACGCTCAAGGTCACCTAAGTTGCCATGAATAACACCCAAGTGATGGTAACAACTCGCAACGTTGATATTGTCAGGACCGACCCTCTTTAGGTAAATGGCAAGAGCTCGTTCTTGATATTGCTTCGCACGCTCAAGGTCACCTTGATCGTAGTGAATACGACCCAAGTGATGGTATCCAGATGCAACTTCGGCATTGTCAGGACCGAGCTTTTCTAGGGCAATTACGAGTGAACGCTTCTGATATTCCTTCGCGCGCTCAAGGTCACCTAAACCTATCTGAATTGATCCCAAGAAACCGTAGACCCTTGCAGTTTCAATATGGTCAGGACCGTGCTTCTTGAGGTATATTTTGAGAGCGCGATCTTCATACTCTTTCGCACGCTCATGGTGACCTAACCTCTGGTGAATATATCCTAGGTAAAGGTAACTATTTGCCACTTCAGTATGGTCAGCGCCAAGGATTTTTAATTTGGTGGTTAGTGCATATTCATGGTACTTCCTTGATATGTGAAACTCACAATGTTCAGAACAAATCTCGCCAAGTTGAATTAAATAATCCGAAAAAATGTTTTCTGGCCTTAGTGTCCCCTTGTTGTTGTGAGTTGTGTTTTTTTCCGGAAACAGAGATTCAATAGTTATAATTAAGGTCTTTAAATGTGGGACCAAGTGTATGGTGTCTGAGTACGTTTTACTGTGTTTCGGAATAGTGGTTACAAACTGGCTAAATGATGTCGCTGCTGCATTGATTTTTTGACTTGAATCTCGCGGCTCCTGGTGATCTTTCATTATAGTTTTGGTAGCATCATGCACAACCTGATGAACACGAATAAAAGCGCCACTTTCGTCCTCTTCAAATAAAACCAGTGAACACCTTTTGAGGTTTAGGCAAATGAACTCTCTGTCCGCTGCTCGTTCATCCATCTTGGAAATATAATTGATCACGATGTCTAAGCTTAAGGGATCTGCTGAACACAGAGAAAGCAAAGTAAACGTGTGACCGACAATTTTGTCAGACATCATCGCATTTTCAACAGCAAGTGTTGTTGCTGCGGTCATGGACTTTGGGTAACATAGGTTGCTTCGCGAAAGAAATTTCTCAGTGGTGCTCCGTTGTCCTTTTTCTATCTTCTCTAAGTAGTCGACCCAGTTGAAGTTTGCAGTTTCTTTGTTTTGCCGAACCTGTTTGACGTAGGTTGCAGCGCTCGCCAATGCAAGAGGCTGGTAGTCCAACTTTACGGTGACTTCCTTCTCCATCTCGCGGTCAGAGATTCCAGAAAGCATCGTTAATAAAGAACAGGAATCGTCAACCTCCATACCCCTGCTTATCGAGACGTGATTAACGAAGGAGCTTGTTGAAGGGATGGAAGAGACGTCCTGGGTTGTAACTAGGATCTGGCCATTTGACCATTGCCCGTTTCCACGTTCTGGAAGATGATCATGTACCCAAGTCATACTACACACGTTGTCTACTATAACCAGCCAAGTGGTGTACAATTTAATCCTCGCGGAAATTAGCGTTTTAAAATTTGAGATTTTCTCCTCTGTTTTAACAGCCTTAGAGTTAAGGGTGTTTGTAACTGCATATTCAGGACACTTTACCTGTCGAGCCATTAAAGCATACGACTCCAGAAGTGAATCAGGACTTGCAGCATTTAACGTCATCACACATGGAGTAGAAGATGGAATATCTCTGGCCTCATCGAAAAACCGCTTAGCTATGAGGCCAGCCAACTGTGATTTCCCACTCCCAGGATTCCCAGAGATGTACAAGTAACTGAGCTCATTTTTACTGGCCCATTTTAACTCTTTAAGCTGTTTCGTTATTTCGGCAACCTCACGATTTCGTCCCCTGACGTGATGTGAAGGCTTAGCAGGAAGAATGCAAAAGGGGGAGATATCTTTTTCCAGCTGATCCTCAAGGACTTTTCGTTGTTGTTTCTCTTGTACAAGTTCCTGCTCAAGATCGTCAACCTGTTTCATAACAAGACTTAACTTCTCCGTGGGAAAAAACGTCTGATTCTTGACGTCATTAATTTGCGAAGTAGAAAGGCCGAGAGCGTGAAATGCTCCATGGACTTTACTAATGGCATTTTGAAAGTCTGCATCGACCAAGGAGCCACGTGGCATGTGAGCGAATTCTTCGTTCCTGAATTTTCTTAGATCGTCTACTTTGGTCTTTACTGTTGGGCTGAGACCGCTCCCGATACAATCAGAATAAAGAATAGCGTAAAACAGCATGGTGCAGTCCCATTTAGCTCTATCCCCATTTTGTATGGTCACCAATAGATGAGCGTTTCGTCTTTGGTTCCGCGGGGACTCTCCGTTATAAAAATCCCTCCCACTTTTAGGGTCATCTTTCCACTCCCCAAGTGTAGCTTTGTAGCGATTGTCCCATTCTTGTTTGAATAGAGACCGTAGACCTTCCGTTAAAATATCCGTGGTTACATAACAAATTCTGTAATAGTTTAGCTGCTCCTTAGAAAATTCTTGTGAGGCGGCCATATTTGGTGATTCCCTTTAAATGTGACAGGTAATACCTTCGAAAAGAATATTTCGATTTTGTTACAAATCGTTTAAGCTATATAGTTTCCTTTAGGCCTCCTCGCCATTGCTTTCTGCATTTTTTTATCTTTTTTGTAATTGTAATCATGCATGTAATTTATTTGTGTGGCAAATAAAATACAAAATACAAAGACTAAATACAAGGACAAATACAATCTCAAAAACGCATGGCTGTGTAAGAAAAATTGCGCGCGTTATTGAACGGCAAAATGATTAAAATTTAGTACTTGGCTTGCCAGTTCACGAAAGGTTGCAGGCATGCAGTTATGAAAGAAAAAAAGGATAGACATAGACATAGTTCATTTCAATAATAATAATAATAATAATAATAATAATAATAATAATTTAGAGGTAGCAGATCCACAAAGTGGTTCTTCGTCTACCTGATTCCTGGTCGAAATAGAATTTGGAAATGTTGGTTTTTGAAGAGAGGGAAAAACCGGGGTACCCGGAGAAAAACCCCTTGGAGCAAAGGAGAGAACCAACAACAAACTCAACCCACATATGGCGTCGACGCCGGGATTTGAACATGGGCCACGCTCTGCTCCCACCACTGCGCTATCCCTTGCTCCCCCGGGGTGCTCAGGAGTCTAAGTCTTGGATATAAGGGAAAAAGGATAATCAGGAGCGGGAAGAAAAAGGGCGCGTGAGCGAGAAGTTTCCACGTACCTGACTTTCTCTTTCCAATCTTTCTATGTTCCCGACCCCTTTCTTTTTCTCTTAAGTTAGTCCCCTGCGTACGATTTAACTCGCTCGCTCCCCCATGGTAACACCGTGTTCTAATTACTGAACGCCTAGAACAAGCTACTCATAAGTCCACGAGAAAACGTTTTCTACCCCTCGGTGATTTTTGTAGACAAGAGAATAATTTTCAACCTTTCCCAATGGGTATTTCAAAACTCAATGTTGGCACTTCATTGATTGGTGGGTTCAGCTGTGCGGCACCATCCTATATCTGCATCAAAAATTACAGGACACCCACATCCGAAGTTAAAAAGAACCGTTGATAAAAACTTATGATCGATGTTCGATTTGCATATTTTCAGCGTTCGGATTTAATCTAGATTTGTAAGATATATCGGTGTATATAGCGAAGCAAAAGTATCGCAGTTGATTACAACTGGAGAAGGGTTGAAAAACTGCTTATGCTCAAGGGTCAGCACGGGTACGGGAGGGGGGAACCGTCATGGGCGCAGCAGGAATTGACTGATACGTGAGGCCCGGTCCACACGAATCCAGATATTTTTGACAAAACGGCCTTTTGTCCACACGAAACCAGTGAATCCGCTTATACATCCGTGTATAAAAACTTGCGGTTTCAAAAGTATCCGGGTTCGTGTGGACGGGTACTGAGAGACGATAGGTTTTAGACGCGTTTTAGCTTGAGTAGCAAGCAGTTTGGTGCAGGGAAGGCGCAGAGGTGCGGTGCGTACGTGAGCGAGAAGAATGAGGCGATAGAAAAGACCACCAGCTACTTTTGCTTTTATGTTTAGCAGTTTACACAGGTGAAATGGTGACAAACGACATATAAAGATGGGTTGAGACTGTGACAGCGACAAGGGCAATCACGTAAACAATACCAACCGACAGGTACATGACTTCCTCCTCAATACGCGAAGTGAGGGGTTTTGGAATTCAGACTAGGGAACCCTCTCCTCTTAATTAAGGTGCCTCACAAAATCAATGTGATTTTGTTTTGCTCTACTTGCTGCGGCGACACCCCCAATCCTGTTGCAAAGACAAAGACTTTCCACAAAAATTCCCTAGTACACGCTGTAGCGATTTGTCTTCATTTGTCGCCGCAATAGGAAATGTGCTAGCATGTGTGTTTAAGCAAGGCGAGGCATCTGTTCTAAATAATTATTGACCTATTTCAGTCATTTCCGTTATGGCTAAAGTGTTCCAAAGGATTGTTTTTTGACAAATTGTATAATTTTTTGAGCAATGAAGATAGCTTTTCTACACATCAATCGGGCTTTCGCTTTTTCCACCAACTGTAACTGCTCTCCTTGAAGCTACTGATAACTGGGCCTTCAATATCGATCGTGGTAATGTTAATGCTGTGGGTTTCTTGATTTCACAAAGGCATTTGACACTGTTGATCATGATATCCTTTATCTAAAATGATCCTTTACGGAATACAAGGAATTGCTCTCGATTGGTTTAGATCGTATTTGGCAAATCGTACACAATAATGATGTCTCGTTGATGGTTCCCTTTCTAGAATCTGTTCACTTAGATGCGGGGTACCACAGGGAACAATCGTTGGTCCCCTTTTATTTGTTATTTACATCAACGATTTGCCAAACTGCCTAACCTTCTTGCGAGCCTACAATGTATGCTGATGACACCCATATCGCTTATGCACATGTTGATGTGAATTCAATACAGCTAAATTTGAATCACGATTTAGGTAATCCAAACAACTGGCTTATTTCCAACAAACTTACTTTGAACACTGCTACAACTGAATTTATGCGAATTAAATCAAGACCAGAATTGAGTACTTTGTAAAGACCCATATTCACTCTGTTGCAAACAAAATAAGTAAAACAATTGGGCTAATTGGGAGATTAAGACATTTTGTTCCCACTTGCACCCTCCTAAATATTTATCAGTCACTAATTACACCTTATCTAACATACGGTCTAATCTCTTGGGGCAACGCGTGTAAAACTTTCCTTGACCAAATTCTTGTCCTTCAAAAAAGCGCACTGCGTTTAATATATTTTTGCTGAAACAAACGACCACGCAATACCTTTTTTTGTCAAAGCAAAAATTCTACCTTTACAGTCTCTATATTACGAATCTGTTTGTAGTCTTATGTATGATGTAAATGAAAACACTGCTCCGGATAATATTTTGAAACTCTTCTCTCGAATTTCTAGTGTTCATACTCACAATACACGTGCCTCAACCTCTGAACATTTTTATATTAAAGAATCTCGACTCAGTGTCAACAAAATGCTTTTTCGTGTGTTGGGGTCAAAATTGGAATGGGACACCTCAAATTCTTAAAGAAAGACCGAAAAAAGCTTTTAAAAGATCACTAAAAGCAACGCTACGGTGGCAAACGAACATCGATAAATTATCTAAAAAGAGCGCTTCCGGGATAGAAGCGATTAAAAGAATTAGAGATTTTGTTTCAACGCCTACTCTCCATTGTATATACAACGCTCTCATTCAATCTCAATTCGATTATTGTAATATTGTCTGGGGTACTTGTGGTAAAACTTTATATGACAGGCTACAGAAGCTTCAGAACCGTGCTGCTCGTGTTCCAACCTTTTCTAGATATGATGCTGATGCCAACCGCTTATTTAGACTTGGGCACTCAGTTCCAAATACAATTTGGAACTTCGTGTCTGGTGTCAGCCGCTAGGGACGTTTTGCTCCAATGGAGAGAAATGAAACGTCCCTAGAGGCGATGAGCGTGGAGAGGCGGTTGTATTCGTACACTTGCTAGTCACAAAACCCTGGGTTCCCTGGAAAATCTGGATCGAGGATCCTTTCGTGGGGGGGGGGGGGGGTGTGGGCATGTTTTCTTTGATGAAAGGATAAAATAATTTATACAAAGGATGCTCCCCCTTGTAAAGCCCTCTCCTCCTTTCCCCTTTTTGTTAAACCATCTTGTGGGAGGGGAATTCTTAAATTTTTAATAAAATTTTTCAATATTTTGACATTGAGTCTCTGAAAATGAATTTTTTGAGGTTTTCCTACGCCTTTATATTGGCGATGTGCTCTACGAGCAAGGAATCGCCATCAGCGATTAGTTCGGGGGTGGGTTGTGTTGCAGGCAGTTCGAACCAGGGAAGGTAACATCTGGGGGAAATGGTTCGTATGGGTGGGGGGGGGGTGTGGGGTGGGGGGGGGGTTTGGGCATGTTTTCATTGATGAAACGATAAAATAATTTATGCATAGGATGCTCTCCCTTGTAAAGCCCTCTCCTCCTTTCCCCCTTTTGATAAAGCATCTTGTGAGAGAGGAATTCTTAAATTCTAAATAACATTTATCGATATGATGACACTGAGTCCTAGAGAATAGACTTTGTCACGGTTTTCGACGCCATCTTGATGAGTGGGGCAAACGCGTGAGAAATTACAGTGTTTGTATGAGAATCTAATGTCGAATAATTTCCGTAGAACGGCTGTTCTGAAAAAAAAATCGATTGTAAACTAAAGCTTCACTCCTAAGGATTTTATTGAAACAAATTAAGGGCGTTACATGCGCTAGAAGACCTAGAACCACTTTTTAAAATTTTCTATACATTTATCTGTAAGAAAGTCCCGGGAAAAATTACAGACAAATATATGGAAAATCTAAAGCAAGCCTCTGGAGAAATTAAAGCACAGGTACACCCCAAAATTTTTTAGTGCAATCCTTTGCTTTGTAGCTTTAGTCTACAATTGATATTTTTTTCAGAACAGCCGTTTCACGGAAATTACTCGCCATTAGATTCTCATACAAACACTGTAATTTCTCACACGTTTGCCTAATCGTCAAGATGGCGTCGAAAACCGTGACAAGGTCTATTATGGATATAGCTCAGTTTTTGTTAAAACGAAGCACGAAATTAACTATCCGAAAAAAACTACTAGCGCCTGCTGTGACTCACACATTGAACCAGACCGGTATAAGAGTTTTGCACGGGAAAGTCACGTTCGCCAACAAGTTTTCGTCGTCTTTGAAGATTTTTATTGTCGAAAGAAACAAAACCCAGCTTGGTTTCGATAACATATATTCTGAACATAATCAACGTGTGCCAAGACAACGTTAAACATGGAAACTGTACAGATGACTGTTTTTATTTCTTATGCGGTGTCATTTAATACTTCGGCTAAAATTATGTTACGGCATTTTTCTAAGAAATGTATGGAGAGCAGGGCTTCATAGCTGTTCATAAAACGGTGCATTTGGTTCAATTAATAGGCAAAGGCTGC